TGTACATGTTTTTATAAAATATTATAGAAATTTTTTGTTTGGAGAAGACAAAGAATTTGCCAAACAAGAAGAGAAAAGATTAAAAAGGAAACTAAGCAAAAATCAAAAACAAGAAAAACCTAATAAAAAGAGAAACATAGCCAATTATGAAGAAGATGATGATAATTCAACATCAACAGATGACATAAGCGATAAGTCTGATGAGGAAGTAGGGTGTCAGCAAATACCATCAGAATCAAATTGCAGGAAGTACTCCGATATCTCCTAAAACTAATAAACTTGAAAAAAGGTGTCAAGTAGATGACCCACTTTTCATGACAAATCTAGATCGTACAAAAACAACTTATAGGGAAGCCATGCACATAGTTGCTTTAGCATTAAAGGCCGTTGGAATCAACGTTGATGAACTCACTTTGTCAACAAGCTCTCTTTACGGATCTAGAAAAGCTATACGACAATCTATCGGAAAAACTATCAAAAACACATTTTTGCCAAACACACCTCTTGTGGCTCACTTTGATGGAAAACTTTTACCTGATTTTGATGGTGTAAACATAGATCGCCTGCTAATTATGGTATCAGGGAAAAATGCAGAAAAACTGATAGCTATACCAAAAGTTGGCGGTACTGGCATAAACATAGGAACTACAATAGTTCAGTTACTTCAGAATTGGGAAGGCGTGTCAAATTGGTTGGCTGGTTTGTGTTTTGACACAACAAGTTCTAATACTGGCATTCATACTGGTGCTATAACAATAATTCAGAAATCATTTAATAAACATCTCTTGTTTTTAGAATGCAGGCATCATATTCTTAAAATTATTGGAACAGCTTTATTTGATTTATTTTTCACTTCATCTGGCCCTCAAATTGCTATTTTTAGTAGATTTAAAGATCAATGGCCATCAATTAATCAGTTAAAATATGCATCGATTGACAAGGTAACAACTGGTTGTTCTTTGACTAATGATGAAAATTTGTGGCTAAAGCTAAATCGTGTAGCTATGATTGATTTTCTTCAAGACCAACTGCAAAATACTCAACCTCGACATGGCTACTTGCAATTGATTAGGCTTTCTCTCATAACTCTTGGAGTTTCAGATCCTACTGCTGTACAAGTCACTCCTCCAGGAGCTTATCACAGGGCTCGCTGGATGGCCAAAGGAATTTATTGTTTGAAGATTTTTTGCTTTCGTGAGCAACTGAAGTTAACTGCACATGAGCTACAAGCATTAAAGAGACTTTGTCTCTTTACTGTAACTGTATATGTAAAGGCATGGTTTTGTGCAGAAAACAGCTGTAGTGCTCCTTACAATGATTTATGTCTTTTTCAAACTCAGGAATTATTTGAAAAAGTTGATTGCAAAGTTGGAAAAGAAGCGATGAAAAAAATTAAAAGGAATCTTTGGTATCTAAGCGAAGATCTTGTTGGAATGACATTTGTTTCTGATTTAGTTAATGTCGATGAGAAAAGGCTTATGGTTAAAGCATTACATAAACCAGCAAAAAAATGATGTTAGAAAAGTAGATCCAAAACACATAAGTTCTTTCAAATCCAAGATTTTGTTAGATTTTGTGACAAAACAATCTTTAAATTTATTTTCTACATTGAAACTCAGTCAAAATTTTCTTTGCTTGGATCCAGAAGTATGGCCACAACTAGAGGATTACAATAATGCAAAAGAGATAGTGACTGCAGTACTGCAGTGCTGAGCGAGCAGTTAAATTGGCATCTGATTTTAATACAGCACTTACTCATGATGAAAATCAGCGCCCGTTGAAGTATCGGTGAAAGAGGCGAGGCATCCTAAGACTGAAGACGCTAAAAATGACTTCTGGAACACACTCTCAGATGTCGTCAGGAAAACACCATCATCAGAGATACCATTGATATGTGGCGACCTCAACGGCCATGTTGGGAATAAAGCAAATGGGTTCCACAGTGTCCATGGAAGCTTTGGCTACGGGTTTCAAAACGAAGACGGTATACAGATTCTGGAATTTGCTGAAAGCCATGAAATTTCCCCTATTTCAAGAAAAGGGCAGAACATTTGATCACATATAAAAGCGGAATATCATGCACATAGATTGACTTTATTGTCGTCAGATAACAACACAGACGACTATTCAGGAATATCAACAACACAGACGACTATTCAGGAATATCAAAGTCATTCCAGGTGAAGCATGCATCCCTCAACGTCGATTGCTGGTGGCCGATATGATCATGGAACGATCAAGCCCTGTGACTGATCGAATGCTTACTAAAATAAAGACATAGAAACTGAAAAACCTCTTGTTTAGGGAGAAATTCGAGGAGTTGGTATCGACACAGCTGGGTCGTCTGGAGGAGGCGGACATAGCCTGGAAATCTTTTCAGGACACCTTAGTGAACGCTGCAACAATTGTATGTGAAAAATCTGGACTAAAACGCCATCACAACCGCGAAACTTGATGATAGAATGAGACGGTGCAAAATGCTACTGCCAGTAAAAAAGCAGCTTTCAAACAATGGCAGAAGACGAATACTGATGAAGATCAAAAGACATACCGATCAAAGAACATAGAAGCGATATGTCAGGTTGCGATAGCTCGCGCAAATCAATGCAAGGTATGGCTGTCTGGAAGTAAAGGCAAACAAATTCGGTCACTCTACCAAATAGCAAATGAGGCTAAAAGACTGAAAAAGGATAAAGAATAATAAAGACACCATAAAAAGCATAAGGCATCTAGTTTCTGCCTTCGGTCAGATGATACGAATCTATTAGGGGTGCCAGTGGCAAGGTTACAGATTGGATCGCGTGATATTGCAATTGCCGGTCCCACTGTGTGTAACAGTCTCCCTGCATCATTAAGATAGCGTGGGCTTCACCATCAATCATTTAAAAAGATTTAAAGACATTTTTATTTTCGTTGAAGTTGCATTGAATTTAATTTTGTACTTATTTTGTTTGCCACGTATATAATTAAGTTTAATTTTTTTGACAGCGCCATTTGAGAACATTGAATGGGCGCTATATATATTGCCCGTAATAATAATAATAATAATAATAATAATAATAACCTTGCAGAATGAAGTGAAGGATCACTGGAAGGATTACTTCGATCGATTATTGAATGAAACAAACCGTATTGAGGTGAACCTTTATGCACTTCCAGTGAAAGGACCGATTCAGGGCATGACTGCTGAGGAGATTACGGATGCGCTGAAGGCAATAAAGGGGGTAAAGCGGCTAGTCTGTCTGGACTAACAAATGTGGTGGGGCAGACTTTCGAGCCCTCTTACACATCTGTCGGGAGATGTGGAGTAAATCGATACTACCAGTAGAATAGAACAGTAGCACATCTGTGCCGATATATAAAGGAAAGGAGACCCACTGAAATGTTCCTCATATACGTCTTCTGGAACATCCCCTAAAAGTTATTGAAAAAGCCATTGAGAGAAGACTGTTGTCGTGCGTTTCAATAGGTGGTTACCAGTACGGCTTTATGGCAGGGAGATCCACCACCGTTGATGCTAACTATATCATTCGTCAACTACAGGAAAAATACTTGGCAAAGCAAAAGCGACCGTTCCATGTATTTGTGGACTTGGAAAAAGCTATTGACAGTGTGTCTCGTGAAGCAATCAGGTAGCGTCTACGTAGACAGCTTGTTCCCAAATATCTGGTTCGGCTGGTTATGGCAACGTACTCTAACACAAAAACTCTGGTCAGCACAGCAGCCGGTAACACGAATGAATTTGACATCAAAGTCGGCGTCCATCAGGGATCAATACTCAGCCCCTTGCTCTTCATCACGGTGATGGAAGAAATAACCAAACCTATACGATCAGATAACATAGTGTTATAACCGATCCCTTAAACTTGTAGGGTATGGTTATTTCTCTCTATGTGGATTCTTGATTCCTAAACAGACTTATTTCAGATGAACTTTATCAGAAAGAAAACAGCGCTGGCAATCACTTGTGTGTATTGCTGTGATCAATCACTCGTTTATTCAATCGTAAAATCGTTAGAATACAGCATAACTAATCAACAGGTAAATCACGGGATAAAACTAATCGTCACTAATTAAGCGTCTCTTGCCAAACTAATTACATTGAGTTCTTTAGTCCTGGTATTCTTTACTACATTGAGTTTCCAGCTATCAAAATCTTACTTCTGTCACCAGTGTGTAATTTCCTGAAGATCCCAGTTCTAACACCAGTGTTGTAACCTCTTCGACCTCGTAACTACCAACACCGATGTTATAGCTTCGGTGTTGGAGATATAGCTTCAGCTCGCTAAATCTCCAACACAAACACCGTGTTGTAGCTTCCCACGATAGTTAAGAGCTCGTTTATCCGTAGGTTCAAGATTTCCGATAGATGAACACAACTACTTTAAAAGCAAAGTAAGTTGAACGTTTATTTTTTATGTTTATGAACGTTTATAAACACAACTACATACTTTAAACGCAAATTAAGTTGAACGTTTATTTTATACCAGCAGTAATAGAAACAATAAATTAATCCAAATAACCACGTAAATCACATTTACTATTTCTACGTCATCTGTGTTCCGTTTTTTTTTACCTGTTCTCCTCTCTCTTGTGTGTGTGTCTCCCTGTCTCTGTCTTGTGTCTCTGTGTCTGTCTCCTGGCGTTGTTTATATAGCTACAGATCTGCTAATAAATGTGTCACCTGCCGTGTCACGTGACTTTTTTTTTACAACCGTTTTAATTATTTACGTCATCTAATTAAATTTACAAGCACTTCACGTAATTTCTAACTACTAGTTCTTATCTCGGCTTTACGTCTGTAACATTGCCCTCCACTGAGACCAAAAATCGTCCTCGATTTGGTCAATTCTCTTTGCTGCGCTGATCTTTTGATCCTGAGTAGGAGGCTAACCGATCTAGATGTACGATCTTCATTTTGGTTCTAGGCTTACTTCAATCTTGAATAATTTCCGTTACTAAGCACCAGGAGCCTGGCACCCGCCCAAGAGGTCGCCCAAAGTAGTCATGGACGCAGACCATTACAGGGTGACTTGAAGACATTTGGTTTCAAAGAGACAGACGCAATGGATAGATCGGCTTGGAGACAGAAACTGATGAATGGAATAAAAAAGTCCGACCCATAACGGAAGGAGTCTATAAACAAGGATTGATTGATTAATATAATGCAACTCTCTCAAACGCAAATTATATTATTCATATTTCATTAACTAATTACATTTTATTTAATCTAACGATTTTAAAATTATTCAATCAATGTTGAGAAAAATATTGTTTTTGTACACTTTTTAAATTTTTGGTTTTTTCACATGTTATCTAAAAATATACCGGGGAAATAGTTAACATTTTTATTATGTTGAACAAATTAAAAAAAAACCGTTAGATAAATGCCAAAGCCAAAATGCCACATAAATTAGTTAATTTTACACTGGTATATATTAAAAGAACGTGTGAACAATTCACAAAAATAAGAATAAGTCACTCGTTACAGTATTTTACAAATTTTTTAAAATTATTTAAAAAAAAACAGGAATTTTGGAAACATACTTTGTTATACTAAAATATTTCATACTCAAATCGGCAAAAACGTCAGTTTCTTAAAAAAACTATAAGTATAAAAACTATACTTAAACAATGCTTTCAACAGTAATATCTGGTAGAAATATTTTTTTAAATCATTTAAATTTTTTAAACTGTAAAAATTTCGGCATCCTGCGTGCTTGTGCTTAATTATAAAACTGTCCAAAAACGGTTAATTTTTCTACAGTAAGTTAAACTGTCGCTCGATCTATTTTGTAAATATACGTTGTTTAACAAACGCAATAGGTCCTCGGTTCAAAATTGGCAAAAAACGTTGTGGCACAAATAACTATAAAAAATATTGAAAGCCAAACAAATTTAGATAAAATCAAAGTATCACCTCAAAAAATCTGGCAATTTTTAACAAAAGCAACAATAATACTAGCTTTTTAGAAAATTAATTTTTTCAACACCGAAAATGTTATTAAATATTATAAAACAATAAACCATCAAAAAAATCAACCTTGTACACTTGATTTTCTGTCAAAAAACATCATGAAATCCGAACGTTTTACCATTTGTCTTAATAGTGTAACAAAACATTCGGCAACATTTTTATCTGGTATACAAGACAAAGCTGCTACAGTTCCTGCAAATATAGTAACACTCTAAAAAATTAGGAAACCATTTTTTCTATTAAAAATTATTTATTCATTATTTCATTTAATTCTATTTACGCTATTTTTTACTAGCTAATCACTATTGATTGAAAAAACCTGATTCACTCGTCATCAAATTAAAGCAGATGATTTTATTGGTAACAGGACAAATACCCCCCGGACATTTACCTCCCGGACATTTACTCCCTGAGCAAAATACCTCTCGGATTTATGATTATGATTCCCAACAAAAAAAATTGACAAAATTGAGTTAAGTTCATAGACAACAAAATATGTATCGTAAAAGATAAGGAAAAACTATTATCATTGAAAAAACATAAAACGTTAATTTTTTTGCATCCGAAAGAAAATTAACAACAGCTCAATTTGCTCTAATAAATTAGAAATTATAATTTAACTGTCCTTAGAGTTTTTATATGGGGGGTGGGTTTAGTCCGGGAAGTATTTGTCCAGAGGGTAATTGTTCGGGGGGTATTTTTGGTATTTTTCTCGTGGGAGAAGTATTTGTCCTGGAGGTATTTTGCTCGGGGGGGTAATTGTCCGGGGGTATTTTGCTCGGGAGTATTTGTCCGGGGGGTATTTGTCCTAGAACCGATTTTATCATAGTTGTGCCACGTAAAAAACTTTTGAATAAAATCACTGAAAATACTGCATCATCAAAGGTTGCCGCCGGCTCAAGTTTGTCAAACGATTCCAAAATATCGACTTATAAAATTAACAGACGTAGATGTTTTTATTACGTTAGCAATGTGAAAAAATGTTATGCGTCTGACATTGTCGACCATATGAAAATGATCAACATTGAGACGGTATCCTATTTTCTTTGTTCCGAAAAATGTATTTTAGTTAAGTCATCAACTTCCTCAAATAGAAGAGGTTTGTGCAACGTTTTTCAAGTTATTTTGTAAACGCGTTGGAAATAATAACAATAATAATCACATGATCTCAGAGGCATCAAATTATTCGATATCACTGAATCACTCATAATCTCACGCATCAAATATGCAGCTCCCTCCTGATCTGGTTTTGCTACACAACAACTTCAGCAACTACAATCTTTCATCAAAAAACTAATCCGCTTCAACTATCTTTTTTGCATCATATCCTACCGTCACTCAGATATTCAACACACTCAATTCAAAACTGTTCAAAAAAGAGAAAATAACAACAACCACGTCATCCATCCTCTACTACCACCAATTAAAACTACAACACACAACCTTCGTCAACGCAAGCATAACTATCAAGTCGCCATCCAATCTACATATCAGGAAAAGACCTTCATCACAAGACACCTTAAACATATACATACTCAATAAAACTTCATCATTCACACAACTAGTTTTTATTCATTGATCAGCTCACTAACTCACTAAGTCATCATCTAGTCTATTAATTTGCCTTTTTTATGCCATTACTTCATTTTATTTTAAATTTATTTTATTTTATTTATTTTCTTATTAGTATTTATTTTACTTTTCATGTTTAAACATTTTTCTTTCTCCTTTTTTTATTTATTTAATTATTTACTTGTTTAATTTTACACAACTGCCTTGCATGCTGTAACAGTTTCTGCGTCTGTCAGATCCTGATTTTTAAAGAATAATAATAATGGAAACTTCTTTTATTTGAAAAAAAATCGACATTATCAACAGGAAAGAAAATCAAATCGTTAAGAAAAAAGAAAATTTTTTGCTAGTACATGAACGTTTATTTCGCATCTCCAACCGAAAGATTTAGTCATAAATTGTCCCTATTATAATAAATGCCAAACGGATGAATTATAGCGTTCCTTATAAATTTATTGAGTGTATCATATGGCATCATATGTGAAGACTTTTTAGATCATATGCCGATTTTTGTTTCACTGAAATGGGGTGGACAATCTGTTGTGAGCATGCGCCAACCAGTAAGAACCCGTGTAATGAAGGACAAAAATGTGAGATTAGCAAATAAACTTTTTGGTGATGTTTCTTGGCCTGTTTTGACTGATGATACCAGCTTAGAGACGGATTATGAAAACTTTTTTCTAACCTATTTGGATTGTATTAATACTGCATGTCCAATAGTCACCAAAAAGGACCGCTTTAGAAAACCTTGGATGGATATTAACTTGTATAACTACAGTTTGCGCAAGAATGTTTTATATAGGTTTTATATATGTAACCCTACATTAGAGAATAAAAACGCATATATTAAATCAAAAAATTATTTTATTAAACTAAAGAGAGTTAAAAAAAAGAATATTATGACAATTAGTTTAAAAAATGTAAAACGTCTAAAGAAAAATGGTCCGAAATAAATAAAATATTAAGACCAAAAATTGACAAAACACATCTATTCAAATGTAATGATTCGTTGTTAACAAAATTGAATAGAGTTAATGAAATTAACACATTTTTTATTGATCAATGTAATAGACTTATTTCTCATAACACTGCAGAATTTAATCTGAACAGTTCGATGATGATGGATCATGATTTTCCATCATTCTTCTCAACCGATGCATCGCCTGATAAGGTGATAATGATTGTTAATAGACTAAAATTAAAAAACTGTTTTGACAGTGATCTTTTATCCACTAAATTATTAAAGGGTACTATTTACCCCATAGCTGGTTCAATTGCCACTTTATTCAACAAATCAATCCTCGTTGGCCAGTTCCCTAATAGACTGAAATTGGCAAAGGTACTACCTATTTTCGCTTTTGAGATCTTTTTGTAATTGTAGCTGTACAAATTAACTTGTAATAATAATAATATGAACATATTTTATTTATTCAATCGACAAAATAAAATTCAAAATAATAAGAAATAAGAAATGACAAATAAAATGAAGTTTAATAAAAATTGAGTTTTAATGAAATGTACGATCCTCCTAAGCTCGATGACGTTAAAAGTGCATAGGAGTGAAAGATATATTTAATTATGCATTGTTTCTCTCGCAATAAATACTTTATGTCGAGCTAATAACAGTACTAATTAATTATTTATTTGGCCATGTAATTTTAAAAATAGATAGGTTCAAGTTATTATAAAAACCAATTGGCGATATCTCAAATGTGTTAACTGTTATAGAGCAGTTTATAAAGTTATTATTTAAATGTTGTTTCAGATTTTTGTACTTTGCACTTTTATATTGTTTAGATGAGAGTAGGTTAGTCTTATAACATATCGTCAACTCGATCACCTCTATTTTTCCACCCCGCAGAACAGCAACATACGGTCGTAGCGTGTGAAACAACTGTGTTATTGGGCGTACATTTTCCGATTCCAAATCAGCAAATATGCAACAGTCGATAGGAGCCTGAGCTTTTATCTTGTTTATGATCACCGCCAATATTTTGTTATGTCTTTCGGTGTATCGTGCCAGTGCCGATGTTGAACAGCAGTTAGACACGACATGTTTATTTGTCTGGCGAACGCTGCAGAGCGGATATAAAGGAGTCGTAGTTTTGCCCCATTGAAACATATTTGAATTGGTGGGCAATTGTTGAACCAGATATTTTCTTATGAACCTGTAAAGTACCCCGGATAACTTCTCAGTAGTTTTGGACCAACAAGTTATTTGTGCTGGGCTTATATGCTGGCCAATGGCTTTAAGTATGATTCCCTGAGATTGCAGTCCGATGATGTGGTTGAGACAGGATTTCACTTTGTCATCTTTCAGAAGCTTAAGAGACAGCTTTAGTGAGCCTGTTTCGTCCAGCGAGCTACCTGATTTGATGAAATTTGAAGTTGTTTCGTTCCATAGGCATTGGATTTCATCACTAGTGTTGTTTTTTAGATAGCTGCGGATTTTCAATTTTATTTTTTCTGAAGTCTCTTTTAATGACACAATGTTATTACCGCCATGTTTCGTTGGCAGCGAAAGTATTTGCGATACACAACCGCTAATAGGCATAGAAAGCCACTCTCTGACATTATTTATTTTAAAATTGTCAAGGTTGCACGATATCCAAGTTGGTGCAAAATGATAGCTTCGGAATTCGAATTGAAGCTGCGAAGGAATGAAATATCGCAATATTTGAAGTTTTTGTTGTGGTTTGATGTCTAGAGCTGAAGTGGTATCCAGCAATTTTGTCAATTTCAAAACGATTTCTTTTTTGGCCTCTGTATCTTTGCCCTCAAAATCATATAACCTGCCCAGGTAGACAAAACTCTTTCCTATTTCTATACTCGGAATAACATCGTTGTTAATTGTAAGCCTTGGAGTAAACTGAACATAGGCACCGTCTTTTTTCCTCATGCCAAATGAGTTGCATTTGTCTATTCTCATTGTTATGTCCGACCAATTGCACCATGTAGAATTCAAATCGATCAGCTTCTGGGCGGCCTCAGAACTGTGGGCGATTATTGCAGAGTCATCCGCAAACTGGAGCCAGGATTTAGTTTTCAGTCCAGAAGTTGGGCCCCAGATATAACCACAGCCAGTGTACTCTTGAGTTTCAAGAATTTTCATTAGCGGATTGAAACATAGGTTAAAGAGCAGTGGCGAATAAGAAACATAATAATAATAATAATGTGAACTCTCTTTTATTTCTAGAAAAATATGAAATATAGTAAAATGAGATAAAAGTCTAATTAAAATCTAATAAAATAAAATAAAATAGATAAATTGATTTAAATTAAATAAAATACAATAGTATTCTACAATGCTCATCATTTGAAATAAACGAGTACAACGAGATATGATTAGTTTTAAACGAACAGTTCAATTGTTATTGCGTTCACAGTAGATGGCATAAGATGACGGTATTACAGAGTTAATAAGGTTATTATAAAATCGATCTGACCAAATGTTATTGATTAATGATAAATTTAAAAAATTGCAAAAGCCCAATGTTGAAATTTCAAAAGTATTAACTATTATTTTCAAGTGTATTGAATTGTCATGCAAATTATTTTTGAGATTTTCTGAGTATTTGATGGTTTTATATTTTTTTGAGTTGAGTAGGTTGGATTCATGGCAGACCGTCAGCTCTAATATTTCTATAGTGTCGTCACGAAGTATTGCGATGTCAGGACGTACGGATTTGAAGAGACAAGACACTGGAGGGATCCCATCATAGTCCACATCTGTATATATCGAAACCTCTAGACACGCGCATGCTTTCAACCTTTCTATAATTATGCTTAAAATTTCGTTGTGACGCATTGTGAATCTTTTAGTGCTGCCACCGAATTGCAATTAGACAGAACATGTTTGTTTGTTTGCCGCGCTTTGCACAATGGACAGTCAGCCGTTGATGATTTGCCCATCTGAACAAATTTGCATTTGTGGGGAGTTGTTGGATGAGACTTCTCCTAACAAATTTGAACAGTACTTCTGAGAGGTTTGCAGTGAATTTCGACCAGTGAGCAATTCTAGCTGCGGGAATCTGGTCTTTGATCACTTTTAAAATTGTGCCTTGGCAACGGAGTAGCGATAGATGTTCGAGTTCTGCATTTTGTTGTTTGATCGTTAACATGCTGAGTGCCGGTTTTATGTCCTTTGAGTCAGGAAGCAAATTGTCGATTTTTATATAATTGCTATAGGACTCGCTCCATAAACATTTAAGTTCTTCGTTGCCGTTTGATTTCAGGTAGCTACGGAGTTTTAATCTCAAAGATTCGGCAAAATTTTTGAGAGATCTAATGTTTAGGCCGCCTAGTTTATATGGGAGCGACAATGTCTCCGACAGACAGCTACTAATGGGCAATGACAGCCATGATCTTACTGTTTCGGTGATTAGGGTGTCTAGATGCATACTAATCCAAGTCAGTGAAATGTTGTACATGCGAAATTCAAACGCAAATTGAGATGGAAGATATTTTCTAAGGATTTCAAGCTTCCACTGAACTGTTGTATCCAGTTCACTGACGGTTGATAGTAATGTTTTGAGTTTGATGATCATCTGGTTTTTGGCGTTCGTGTTGTTGCCTTCGAAATCATATAATAATAATAATAATAAAAAATAATAATAATAAAAATAATAATAATAATAGGTACAAATATAAAAATATACGTACATATATATGTAAATACACACATGCGTACATACATAGGTACATACATACGTTAATGTTCAAAGTTTTTACCATTATTATCGACTGTGAAAATATTGATATCTTTCTCCAACATGGCGTTGACAACTTGTACCAAACCAAACTGACATGCATAATGAAGAGACCTGCAAATGAAAAAATAACCAACAAGTTAACGTTTTTTAACAAAGTTTTAATATATATATATATATATATATATATATATATATATATATATATATATATCTTTTTTAAGGTTTTGTTTTATATTATTAATTAGATGTTTTTGAAAATGTTACATATATGTATAAGCTTGGAGAATATAGGTTGAAAGAGTTGACAAATACCCGAATTACGATAGTAACGTTTATTTGAAGTAAATTGTAACGGATAAGCAATGAGTATATGACACACAATTGAATTTTGATAACTTTAATAAAAATAATTTTATTTTAATTATTAATATATTAAAATTATAAACATTTTTAAAAAATTGATCATAAATTTTGTTAAAAAGCCTTTTATAAACAGGCCCACCGCAATAAAACTGTAATGTTTAGTTTCCACAATTAGATTTATAGTAAATTCTAGCCGAACGGTTTTTATGAAAAATTAAAAAATATTATAGAGGGTTTTTTCTATTTAAATTTTCATTTGCAGACAAAATCTAAAATCCCGAAGCGAGCTTGAAAAACCACCGAAATATTTCAAATTAACAGAAAGCATAAAATCCATGATAACAGAAAATGAATGAGTTACCTCAATCGGTAGAAGGGTCATGCCTTGCGCCTCTATAACGCGATGACATGACTGTCCGCAACTTAAAGACCATTAACTATACAAAGAAATCATCCCAAAATAAAAAATTATGGTCATGTTACCGGACGATTAATTTTTAACTAAATATATTTTATGTTATATTAAGCAGCTATATATTGATAAAATACTTATATATATATATATATTAATAAGAACAACATAAAAAAGCGTTGCTTTTCAATGAAATAATAAATGAGTCTAAACATTGTACAACATCAAAAACAAAACAACAACAACACACGTTTAGACGAGATCGGGGGTTGCCGTTTGGCTACCTATGATGAAACCGAAATACCCCTCGACGCCATTCACATCTGTCACTCGCCTCAGTATCAGGCAACCCCGCTTTCACTCTGTCCTTCTCCACCTGTTCTCTCCATCCCAATCGCGGACGACCCCTTCCTATCACTCCATCAACCTCGAACTCCAACGCTCGCCTAATCCCGACCCTTTCATCCCTTCTCAACACATGTCCATACCACCGCAATCTCGATCTCTTTATCAATGTCACAATGTCCTCATTCAGTCCCATCATCGACATCAGCTCTGTACTACTCCTCCTATCCTTCACTTTAACTCCACACATCATCCTCACCATAGCTCTTTCAGCCCTTTGCAGTACACTTCCCTCCTCTCTCCTCAACACCCAAGTTTCTCCACCATATACCATCGCTGCTCTCACACTCCCTAAATTTCATCCATCCCACGCGAACTCTAGCCGTAACAGTGCTCAAACACCCTCCATCCGCGTTCAGCTTAACCCCTAAATAAACAAAGCATTCCACTCTTTCAACATCACCACTGAACCCCGTTCTTGCTTCCGTCCTCTAAATCACACCATGAACACATTTCTTACATTTAAACGTGCCTTCCACCTTTTTCAGTGCCCCCCTTACACCACTACATCTCTTATGCACCCACTTCTGACATCCTATACACAATACCGAGTTAGCCTTCACTCTCCTGTCACATACCCCACAAGGATCTATTTTACTTATCACTCGCCCCCCACCTTCCCCACTCACCATTTCCTTCGTTTTACCAATATTAACTTTTAACCCTTTCTTTTCGATAACACTTTTCCATCTGTCAAATTTTAACTGCAATTCTTCCATGCTATGAGCCATCAAGACTAAATCATCTGCATACAAAATCTCAAATAACAACCCCTCCATTATGTTTCCACACACAACATCCATCACAATTGCAAACAAAAACGGTGATAACACTGATCCATGATGCACACCTACCTTAAGAATAAAAGCGTCCGACATCCCCCTTCCGACTCTCACCTTTGTCTTCGCCCCTTCATACAGCTGCATCACAGCTTTAACAAGTCTCTCATTCACTCCTTTCTTCCTCAACGCCCATTCAATGACCTTCCTCGGTACTTGATCAAAAGCCTTCTCTAGATCCACAAAAACTCATGTACAATCTTTGTTTCTTCTTTCTATAATTCTCCTGCAACATTCTCACTATAAACAACGCATCCACCGTTCCCCTACCAGGCATAAACCCACACTGCATTTCATTAACTGTCACCATATTTCTCAACCTCCTCTCAAGCACCCTCTCCACTACCTTCATTCCATGTTCTAGCAATTTCACACCCCTATATGACCCACAATCTCTCACATCTCCTTTGCCCTTATACAACGGTACCAACACACTGTGTCGCCAATCCTCAGGTATACCTTCATCATCAAACATAATGTTAGCAATTCTCATCATAATTTTAATTCTTATCACCCCACTCGCCTTTATATGTTCCGCCGCCACTTCCGAAACCTGTCGCCTTACCTAGTTTCATTTCTCTAACTGCTTTCCCTACTTCCTCCATCGTCACCTTCTCTATGGGTCCGTGTGTGTGACCGCGGATTCCACATCTCCATCCCACTCATTCTCTTCATTCATCAACCTTTCTATATGGGCTTTCCACGCCTGAGCTTTTTCCTCCTCATCTATGCACAACTTGCCAGATCCATCCCAAGCATATTCATTCCCTAAAACATCTTTCCTATCCCTGATTGACTGCTTCAATACTTTGAACATTTTCCTCGAACTCACATCAAATTCCATTTCCCTCATTAACCTATCTGATGCTTTCGTCATTGCAGTTGCCACTGCCCATTTTGCAACCTTCTTAGTCTTCCTAAACTCAAATTCCGCTTCCCCCTGTCATGTTCCTTCTCCCCACTCTAAACCTCTCCTTCTTGACCTCCAAAACCTTTCTTATATTTTCATCCCACCACCACGTCTCACCATGCCTACACTTTCCTTTCGTCCATCCATATACTTTATCTGCCGTAGTCAACACACAGTCCCTATATCTCTCCCAAACATTTCCATACTTACCACTCTCCCAACTTTCATCCACCTTCACTTCAAATGCCTTCCTCACCGCTGCATCCTGTAACTTCCATGTCTTTCTCTTTGCCACAAACTTATCCTTCTTCCTCCTCCCAATTTCTTTTGATGCCACATCCATTATAAACATACTATGCTGCAACATGCCAGGTATCGCTTTCACATTCCTTACATAATTTTTATGGTTCGTCCTTATCAATATATAATCTATCATTGACCTATGCTCCCCTGACCTATATGTAATTAATCGTGCTGGTTCCCTTGTAAATCAAGTATTCCCCACTACCATGCTATGTGCATCCGCCAACTCCAACACTCTACGCCCTTCCTCATTCCGTATACCATAATCCCATCCTCCATGTACACCTTCATATCCGTCTGCATCCGCCCCCCCACATGACCATTCAAATCACCCAACAACACCACAAACTCATGCAACCCCGCTTGCCCAATCTCGTCAGAAACATCATCATAAAACCTATCCTTCTCCTTTTCCTTCCTACTTTGTTGCGGAGCATATCCTGATATTACCCTCACTATTACCTTTCCAAACATCATCACCACCACAATTACACCATTGCTTTTCCGCTTCACTTCAACACCTTCTCCGCCAACTCTTCTCTTACCATCACACCAACTCCTCCCGTACCATCATCCCCCTTCCGCCACAACTTATATCTTCCACCTTTAGCCCCCACAAACCTTGTACCCTCTCCCTTCCATCTGATCTCCTGTAATGCAGCCACGTCAACCAATCTCTTCTGCAACTTCTCTCCTACTTCCAAACTCCTTCCTGTCGGCGTGCCTGCATTCCAGGTACCAAACCTCAAACCCCTTGGTCTACAAGTAATCCTTCCATCCATAGTGTCTCGCACCGCAACATTATAGAGTGGAATGCCAGTAGCCAGACCATCCACAGGGCCTTGCACCGCAACCCCATGGACTGGGTCTCTGGGGATTCTTCGCACCCTCTTCTGCCGGATACAACACTTTTGTCATTATAAGTATTTTTTTGGCTAATTTTTACGCAGGACGCCCTTCCTTACGCAACTACAGTTATAAGCGGTGGGCCTAGCCTTTGATGATCCAACATCACTCCCAAGGCAGTGAGGGTCAGTTTAATGCCATAACCAGGACAACATCAAAACTTATATTCAAATTATTATTTATATTATTTTACATTGTTTTCAACGTACAAGCGTGGCAAGCGTGGAAAACGGAAATAAAAAAAACGAAATTGTTGTTGGATAAGAAAACTGCGTCAAAAACGTGTGTGTAATTAAATGTCGAAACAATAAAACAAGTTGAAAATAAGAAATTTAAAATTTTCATATAAGAACTTGTTTCATCTAAGGGCGAAAAATAGCGATCGGAGTCACCTCTTTTCTTTCAAAATTAGTTAAACGGGTAAAAATATATACCTAAAAAATTGCTAGCCAAAAAAATATAACACAAATCCATCATGCTTGGTTTATTATTTAAAAATCTTATTGAACAGATTGAATTTTATTGAGCAGATTGAATCTTATTGAGATTATGTTAAGTAGAAAATGTGAAAAAAATTTGTCTAATTTTCATTTACAGTGAGCATTTTCTCAATAATTCTGTTTTTTTTTTTAATTTGAATTTTTGTGAGTATGTGTTTGAGCCCTGTATTTTGTGAAAAAGCTATTTTTAGTTTTTATTCTTATTAATGTATTGGTTTAAATTTTATTGGTCAATCAATGTCTAAACCTAAATGTCCCATTAAGGGAACATTGCCAGGTAAACTTATTGAAAGCTCAATATGGTGATTACTGCTTTAACAGCTCCATATAAGATTTTTCCTGAATAATGACTAAAATAAATGTTAATGAATATGTTAATGAATAAAAAATAAATGGTTAAAGATAACAAAAACGCTTTTAAAAAGCAAATACTTATGGAAATAATTTACATTTGTGAGGCTGTAAATTAAAAAAAAATTTACTTTACAATAAAACGCAATAAAAATTACAATAAATAATTTGTTTGAACGTTTGGTATGAAAGATTTATCAATAAAGTAAAAATTAATTTTTTAGAATAATTTTAAATTTTTTTATTACATGAACCTCGTGTTTACTACCGTAAAAATTTCCAAACGTAAATAAAAAAATGCATAATTACGTTCTTCCAGATGTGTTCTGCTTGTTGATGATGTTTTTCTCTTCTATTTTTTCCAATAATTTCAAGGCTATTCTCTGGTGTTTCTGGTTATAAAAAACCAGACTAGAGTAAAGACGTTAAAATTTATATTACCAAATTTTGACCGATCATCGATCTTTACCTCGTGAAAAATCAAAAGGTCATAGTTTTTTAANTTGGATATATTCAAAGGCATAATGATATCCGTTTATCATACACTAAAAGAACGTGTTAAATACCTGCGCGTTGATAATATTACATAAATGCGGATAGACAATCTTTACAAAAACATTTTTTATGGCAACATTTTTTCTCTTTATATTTTTTGGGACTGACATGTACAAAGAGAAAAATCATTTTTTTCTTTCAATATAGATAACGTTAAAAGTTTTTTCTTTCAAGATCAATAAACCTAAAATTATTTCCATTTTCCAACAACAATATTCATATATAGCCAAGGGGTTACATATATATATATATATATAAATATAAATAAATATAAATATATATATATATATATATATATAATGGATATCTTCATGCTGGGGTGCACTGGCTATGAGGCGCGTTCCCAGGTGGTGGATAGGGGAAAGTCCTGGGCAGGGAAACCTTCTAGGATTGCATCGAATAATACGGAATAAGATTCCGCGAGCCAGAAAAAAGAAGACAACGATGAAAGAGACGGAGGATTCAAGGGCAACAGCGGATGATCTTCGATTCCAAATCCACTGCCTTGTGGAGCAGAAACCTTTGATCCAAAGGCTAGATGCACTGCTTACAACAGTGCTCTCTTGGGCACGAGATAAACTGCAATCGCGTTCGCGTTGCCTTGTATGTTTCCAGCAAAAAAGCTAGGCCCACTGCTCATAACTGGTGGTTGTCGTTAGGAATTGGGCAACTCCAGATAAAAAAATTTTTGACACAAACATCTTTCATGTCATCACAAAAAAGAAAAGATCTTAAGGCCTTAAATAGTCAAAGGGTGACAATATCCAGGTAGTACGCAACAGGGGAGGGATGTTGCGGGAAATCGGGCGTCCTCTCCTGGAATATCAGACTTGGCACTTTAAATACTGGATCGCTTACTTGACGCTACATGGAGATCGTCGACATGCTGGAAAGGCTAAGGGTTGACATGTGTTCTCTGCAGGAAACAAGATGGAAATCAAATGGTGTCTCTCACATTAAAAGTTACAAGTTGTTCTGGAATGGCCAAAAGACAACCCAAAATAAAAAGGGAATCTTCATACGGGAATCACTGGCACAAAATGTACTGGAGGTAGTTCGAATCAGCTCACGCCTAATGCTGATTAAACTCAGAATGGGAAAACAGGTTCTGACTGTTTTCTCTGCATATGCACCACAGACCGGTGAATCTGAAGACGCCAAAAATGAGATCTGGAACACACTCTCGGAGGCCGTCAGGAAATCACCATCATCAGAGATACCATTGATATATGGAGACCTCAACGGCCATGTTTGGGGAAAAGCAAATGGGTTCCACGGTGTCCATGGAGGCTTTGGGCAACGGGTCTCAAACGGAAAACGGTATACGGATTTGGAAATTTCTGGAAAGCCTGAAACTCTTCCTGTTAAACACTTATTTCAAGAAGATATCATGCAAACAAATTGACTTTACTGTCGTCAGACAACAACATAGACGACTATTCAGGAATACAAAAGTCATTCCAGGTGAAGCATGCATCCTTCAACATTGATGCTGGTGGCCGATATGATCATGGAACGATCACGCCCTGTGACTAATCGAATGCCTACTAGAATAAAGACATGGAAACTGAAAAACCTCATGTTCAGGGAAAAATTCGAGGAGTTGGTATCGACACAGCTGGATCGTTTGGAGAAGGTAGACATAACCTGGAAATTTTTTCAGGACACCTTAGTGAACGCTGCAACAATTGTATGTAAAAAATCTGGACCAAAACGCCATCACAACCGCAAAACTTGGTGATGGAACGAGACGGTGCAAAATGCTATTGCCAGTAAGAAAGCAGCTTTCAAACAATGGCAGAAGACGAAGACTGATAAAAATCGAAAGACATACCGATCAAAGAACACAGAAGCGAAATTCTCAGGCTGCGATAGCTCGTGCAAATCAATGCAAGGTATGGCTGTCTGGAAGTAAAGGCAAACAAATTCGATCACTCTACCGAATAGCAAATCAGGCCAAAAGACTGAAAAAGGATATAGTTGGTGCCAGATGCATCAAGAATAATAAAGGCACCATAATAACCTTGCAGAATGAAGTGAAGTATCACTGGAAGAATTACTTTAGTCAGTTATTGAATGAAACCAACCCTATTGGGGTAGATTTTCGGTGGAAAGACCGATTCAGGGTATCGCAGCTGAGGATGAGGAGCTTACGGATGCGTTGAAGGCAATGAAGGTAGGTAAAGCGGCTGGTCCGTCTGGGCTTACAAATGATATCATCAATGCATCTGGTGGGGCAGACTTCCGAGCCCTTACACATCCGTCGGGAGATGTGGAGTAAATCGATACTACCAGTGGAATAGAACAGTAGCACATCTGTGCCGATATATAAAGGAAAAGAAGATCCACTGTAATGCTCCTCATATCGGGGTATACGTCCTCTGGAACATCCTCTGAAAGTTATTGAAAAAGTCATTGAGAAAAGACTGTTGTCGTGCGTTTCAATAGGTGGTTACCAGCACGGCTTCATGGCAGGGAGATCCACCATTGATGCTATCTATTTCATTCGTCAACTACATGAAAAATACATGGCAAAGCAAAACGACTGTTCCATGTCTTTGTGGACTTGGAAAAGGCTTTTGACAGAGTGACAATCAGATAAAGTCTACGTAGACAGCTTGTTACCGAACATCTGGTTCAGCTGGTTATGGCAACGTTTTCTAACTCAAAAATTTTGGTCAGTACAACAGCCTTTAACACGATTGAAATTGATATTAACGTCGACGTCCAATACTCAGCCCCCTGCTCTTCATCACGGTGATGGAAGAAATAACCGATCCGATACGCTCAGATAACATATGAAATGTGATATACGCAGATGATATTGTCCTGACGGCGAACTCGGAACAAGACGCAGTCAGAAAGTTTGAGGTCTAGAATACCCAGCTTGCCGAACACGGGCTAAAGGTAAACCTTGACAAAACAAAAACTTTGATCACTGGTGGTACTGCTGAGCCTGTGGTCTCTGGTCTTGGTCATGTTCGGTGTGTGGGGCTAGAGTTGGAAGCGATTCGATCAAATGTCTACGATGTCAGCAGTGGTGTCACAGACGGTGCTCGAAAATTACCGGATCACTGAGGAAAGCGACGCATTTCGTCAGTGCTTTAACTTTGACGTTGTAAAAATTAACTTTGGTGTTGTAAAATTGAACTTTGATGCAAATTAGTTGTCAGGTTTCTTAATTGTCTGGTCATCTTCTTTGGTCTCCTTTTCTTCATCGATAGCATCATATTCTTCTTTGTCACTATTTACGATGCTAGTTTTTATTACTTCTTTGTTTTCGTTCCAACCCGGC